TCGGGCGTGGGCGCCCGCGCAGGGCTCGCCAGGGTCTGCACCCCGCTGAAGCAGCTGTAGATGCCCTGCGGAGAGAAGGGGTGGCCCCACCATCAGGGGTTCTGCATCCACAGACCCGCCCCATCAAGCCGAGATGCTGCTGAGATGTCTTGACAGCACCAATGTCCCCTCCCGAGTGCTGACACCGTGCTCGACCGCCCCTTTCCCCGGGGATGCCAACACGGGCGCTGGGCCATTCCCAGGGCTGAGCCCTTTTCCAAAATAACCGGCTTTGCTCCCCAACCAAGAGCTCACATCAGCGCGAGCATCTCCAGCCCCTCCTGCGCGGGTCGGAGGGCTGATGCCCACCAAGCCGTGCCCATCCCCATGACACCATGCGAGGACACCTGGGCCCCTCGAGAGCCCCCGGCAGCAACACTCACCCTGCTGATGGCCAGGAGGAAGTCAAGCTTGTGGGACTTGGGGACAGAGTGACGCAGCTTCCAGTAGACGAGGTGCTCCCAGGCGAAGACCAGCAGGCTCAGCCCCATGGCCACCAGCAGCATGTAGAAAACCCCGGCCATGTTGTCGATGTCCAACTTGCTGCTCATCACCTCGTTCTTCTCGTTCTGGCAGATCCCTGACAGCCAAACTGTCTCCAGCTTCTGGGTCTCACCTGGGGCCAAACACAGACAGCAGTGAGGGGAGGAAAATGTCTCCCCTGGGCATCATCTCCCTAAGCACAGCCCCTGCCCATCCCCATCCCACCATGCCTGGAGGAGGAGAAAGCCACCCCCAAGCTCCTGGAGCTGTTATGACCTAGTCCTTGCTGCTGCCCTTGGCCTCAGCATCTCACCAGTCACTTGTCCTTCTCCAGGGCCCTCTCCTATCTCTGTCCCCCCACCCATGTGCCAGCCAGCCATGCTCAATGTCCCCTTCCCAGGCTTCTCCTCCTGACCCTCAGCTATTGTGTATGGCCATCTCCAGGATTTTACAGGCTGCAAGAAGAAGAGGGACCCCAGAGTGAACGACCCCCCAGTGCCCAGCTGGAGAGATGCTGCTGGATTTAATGTCACCTGAGAGGAGCTGGTGGAGAAGACCATCTGACCCATCCCCTCGGAGGCATCCTCCAATGAGCCGTGGAGGCTGTGCAGGGTCTGGGGGCCAAAGCCACCCACACCATGGAAGGGACAGACAGTGATTGCTGGTCCCTGGGTCAATTTGCAGGGCAGGGGCGAGGTGAGGATGGGGACAGGGCTAACGAGAAGCTTGCCTGGGCACCCACCATCTCCCAGAAACTGGAGCAGGGCCAGGTCGATGGACCGCTTCCAGCGCGAGTCCTTCTGCAGGGCGATGCCGTAGCCCGTGGTGGCGAACACCTTCCCACTGCCGATGGTCACCAGCTTGCAGCCCTCGTCCTTGCCCGCCATGTAGTTGAGCACCGCCGCATCGTAGATGAAGGCGTCCAGCTTCCTGCCCCGCCGTTGGAAAGGAGGGTGAGGGGGGGGACCCAGCAGCCCTTTTCTGGGCTGTACCCCTTTTTGGGGGATCTGTACCCCTTTCAGATAGTTGTAGCCCATCTGGAGAGTGTTGTGTCCTCTTTGGGGGTGTCTGCTCCATCTTGGAGAGCCGTAACCCCTCTTGGGGAGGGGGAAGTACCCATTCTGTGGGGGGTCTATCCCATTTGGGAGAGCCATACTCCATCTAGGGGGGCTGCATCCCTTTTCGGGGAGCTGTATGAAGCTCTACCCCATCTTCAGGGGGTTGTACCCTGTTTGGGGGGCCCATACCCCATGCAGAGAAGCCACACAGAGCAATATCCCATGTGGGTGAGTCACACCCAGCCTGGGGAGCCCACATCTCACTTGCGGGGGGCTGTACCCCAGCTGAGGAAGCCCCACCCCACCTTGGAGGCACCATACCCCATCTCAAGGAGACTCAGTTCATTTGGGGGAGTCCTGTATCCCGCTTGGAGGATCCGTAACCCGGATCTGGGAGCTGTACCCCATTTAGGGGAGCCGTACCCCATTTTGAGGCTGGTGAGGGCATCCTCCACGGAGCGTTGGTTGTACTTCACCATGTGGGTGTGCATGTCGGGGTAGTTGCTGCGGATGTTCCTCTCGGTGCTGCCGTTGGGGACGGTGCCGAAGCGGAAGGGGGGGTACTGCTCCTGCGGCTTCTGAAACTGTGACGGGGACCCCCGGGAAGCGGTGTCACACAGAGTCCACGTCCCTGCTGTGTCCCCAGCATGTCCCCCCGACTGGCAGTGACGTGCAGCCCCCCACAAGTTCTCCCCACCCAAAACAACTTATTATTTTTTTAGGGATCCCAGCCCAATCGTCAGCCCCACCTTCCTGTCACTCAGCCCCGACACGGTGTCGATGTACTGCTCCTGGATCATGAAGGCAGCCAGGTTGGCGGTGTAGCTGGCGAGGAAGATGACAGCGAAGAAGGCCCAGATGAGCACCATGATCTTGCTGGTGGTGCCCTTGGGGTTCTCAATGGGCACCGAGTTGTTGAAGACCAGAGCCCACAGCAGCCACACCGACTTGCCGATGGTGAAGGAGGGACCTCCTGGCCCTGTGGGGACAGGGGACGGAGGGGACAGCCATCAGCCTGGCTGGGGATGTGTGTCCCCCTCCAGCTCCCGCCTCTTCCACTCACTTTTGCCGCTGGTGAGGTTCTGGTTGTAGCCGACGGGGCTGAAATACTCGAACACGAAGACGGTGACAGCCACCACGGTGAGGCACATCACGAACATCATGACCCACACGGCCGGGCTGTAGGGCTCTGCAAAGTGAGTGGGGCACTGTCAGCCCTGGGCAGCCCCTCGGGACACCCCACGACACCCTGAGAACCCCAGGAGCCCTCCCTGATGGACGGGGCTCATCCCCCTGAACATGCCCCTCCTCGGAGAGGAGATAGGAACTGGTGGCACCACAGCTGGGCAGATCCACAGGGAATCAGGAGGGAAAAGGGATGCTGCAAGATGGGGGGATGCAGCCATGCCTGAGGAAAATCAGGCTTTCATCAACGGGGAGATGTTAACGAGACACCGCCCATCTCCAGGGTCATCTGAAGATGAGGAAGAACTTCTTCCCTCTGAGGGTGACGGAGCCCTGGCCCAGGCTGCCCAGGGAGGTTGTGGAGTCTCCTTCTCTGGAGATATTCAAGACCTGCCTGGACAAGGTCCTGTGCAGCCTGCTGTGGGTGACCCTGCTTCGGCAGGGGGTTGGACTGGGTGACCCACAGAGGTCCCTG